CGAAAACTAACGCCAACTTAGTAAGGACATGTTATAATTATGGACTATTAAATACAGTATATTAATATGATGGAAAGGAACTAAGTGGAATACCGGAACTACATAAAACATTTATTACATATAAGAGAGTTACTAAGAGAAATTTATTCTATGTAAAATTTTATACGACAACAACAGAGATATTATACGAGGAAATAAAACCTCCGATACAAGTGGTAAAGATAGGACTAACAAAAGATATGATAATACCGGAAGATATCGAGCAGCAACCAGAAATACAAAAAAGCGAGATACCCGGTTTTTATGCAAATAAAAGAATAATTGGTATATCAACCATTATACAAGAGCTAGCAAATAATTATTTAAACGAAAACGCTATATGGAGCTACTATGCGAGAGATCAGTTAATGATTTATTCCAATTCAAGAGAGCTAAGGAAAGCACATATGGATGAAGTCCAAAAATGAATTTTATCATTACTTAAGCCAAAAGAACGACCTACGACACGAGCACTAAAAGTAGGATTTATTTCAGCAGAATTATTAACTAGGTATTGCAAGCTAATTGATCACAAATACCCTGACCACATATGTTCGAAATGCAACGGAGAAGATAACATAATTCCAGATGTTCAGTTGGAATAATCAACGAAGAAAAGAAGAAGAAAACAAGAAGAAGAAGACAGACAAAAAGATAAGAAAGGAAAAAGTTATGTAAGTAAAATAATGTAAAATAGTTGCAAAGTAGTCAAATAAGTACGTAGATAAGTGTATAGTTTGGTATGTGTGTCATAAAGTAGGTATGGGTCATAAAGTAAATAGTGTGCAAATAATGACAAGTGTTTATGTACATTATTAATATGTGTGAATAAGTCATAAATAGGATAGTGGTAGACAAAATAAGAACTGTTCATGAATAGTAGTCATGAATAGTAGTGGACAGATGTAAAAAAGCGTATTAGAGTGCGTATGTCTATATATAGACGCAGTTGTAATTATTGAAAGGCAGGCAACGCCTAACATAATAAAAACTTTCATAAAAATCATTCTCTCTCAAGATACTAAATACTTAAAAGTTAATGGATAAATCTGAAATCCAATAAGATATTT